CCAAGTACCTGCAGAGAGTAAGGCAAGTCCTGAGAAGCCAGCTGAATGGGAAGAACAAAGTCCGGGCAATCAACACCTACGCCCTGCCGGTCATCAGGTACCCCGCTGGCATAATAAGCTGGCCAAAGGAGGAGATAGAGGCCACTGACATCAAGAAAAGGAAGCTCCTTACAATGCACGGCGGGTTTCACCCCAAGTCCAGCATCCTGAGACTGTACACTAAGCGGAAGGAAGGAGGCCAAGGATTAGTGAGCATCAGAGCCACTATTCAGGGTGAAACAACAAAGATCCATGAATACATCAGGAAGATGGCCCCGACAAACTGGTAATGGCCAACCAACCAGACATAGTAGTGGTGGAAAAACAAAAAAAGACGGCTGTAGTGATAGATGTAGCAATCCCAAGCGATAGCAACATCAGGAAGAAGGAACACAAGAAGCTTGAGAAATACCAAGGGCTGAAACACGAGCTAGAAAAGATGTGTGTGTGAAGGCACAAGTGGTCCCCGTGGTAATAGGAACACTGGGGGCTGTGACCCCCAAACTGGGAGAGTGGCTCCAACAGATACCAGGAACAACATCTGAGATCTCTGTCCAGAAGAGTGCAGTCCTAGGAACAGCTAAGATACTGCACATGACCCTCAAGTTCCCAGGCCTCTGGTAGAGGACCTCAAACTTGAAGGAAGGAATGCAAGACCGCCCCAAAGTAGGGGGCGAGTGGGGGATTTATGTATATATATATATCTTTGTCTTACTTAATATAATAATAAAAAAAGTTTGTAACAAAACCAGACAGACAACCACTCACAGGCAATTTAGAGTCACCAATCTAATCTGCATGTCTTTGTTCTGGAGGAGGAACCCGTGCAGACAGATCAGTGACAAGGCTTTGAACCCAAACTATATAATGACTATGACTAAACTAACAAAGCTGAATTAGCAAAATAATCACAATAAATATCCTTGAGTGTCCTTAGTAGTGATGCTGTTGTTTTCAGCTGTACTTACATGCTTCTACTTTTTAATAAAAAATAAAGAGTTAAGGGCTCTTTTGCATTCTCCAGAGCACCAGCTCAGTGTTTTGTGGCTACAAATCTGCCTTTCTATACTTTAAATTTGAGAGCTGAAGGACCAGTGACTGCTGCCTTTTGTTTTGTTACTAATGAATAGTGTTGTCATTACCAATCTACCATAATTACCAGCTATTTCTGGCTAACAGGCATCATTAACTTGACTGACAACAGTGATCAAAGGAAGCTCTGTTGCTCACTTGTATCTACAGAAAAAACATTCACATTACTTACTTTTGATTATGGCCTTGTATGCTCAAATCATGGCTTGCAGATCATTTGTTTTGAGCTCAGTCAATAGTTTTACTGTCAATTATCTTGTAATAATAAGAGAGGGCCTTGTGAACATTCCCCTCCAACATATTTAGTTCCACTGTACATAATGCATCAAATCATTCATTAGGTTTTCTTCTGCAGCTTGTCAGATATGTGATGAAGAGGCTCATTTTAGACTTAATAACTGTAATTTGAGGTCACAACAACCATTTGGACTAATTTGTTTTTTGCTGCAGTGGCACTTCCCTGTGATACATCTTATAGAATGCTAAGCCTGTCAGAGATTCAAAGAGCCAGCAACACTTTTCATTGTTTTATGTTTTAACAGTCAAATAAAACCAAACCCATTAGGAATGTGATAAATGTCCTTGCACATGTACTCTATAAATCAGCAGATGTAAAGGTTGTAAATATTCACAATATCTGGACTTCATGAAACCAATCATCCTTAGTTTTTACTGCCAGGATGATTTCCAGACATTTCAGTGCCCTGGGTCTATGTATCATGTATATATACTGTAGCTGATGCACCTTCTCAAACAAGTTACTTCATAATGATCGTATAGCAGCTACATGGATAAAAAGCAAAGCCCAATACTGTTTTTAATTATTGTTTTGATGCTGTAAGAGATTACTCTAGACACATAAGTGCAGCCTGAAAAAAAAATTTCTTCTTGTCAGCAACACACACCTAACAAAGCCATGTCCACTGATCCTGTGCTCTCTGTCCTTGTGAATGAAATAACAAACCAGTGTGAGTGGTTAACTTAAGGCCAGACAGTCCTGATCCTGAAGGACCCTCAGAAGGGAGCAGTACCATCCAACTACTGCCCAATAACCTGCCTCTGCACAACATGGAAGCTCCTGTCAGGCATCATAGCAGCTAAGATGAGCAGGTACATGGCTCAATACATGAGCAGCACCCAGAAAGGAATTGGTAGTAACACCAGAGAAGCAAAGCACCAGCTACTGGTTGATAAAGCAGTCACTCGAGACTGCAAGACCAGATATACCAACCTGTGCACTGCCTGGAATGAGTGCAAGAAAGCCTATGACTCAATGCCTCACACATGGATCCTGGAATGCTTGGAACTGTACAACATCAACAGGACTTTAAGAGCCTTCGTCAAGAACTTAATGGGAATGTGGAAAACAACCCTAGAGGCCAACTTCAAGCCAATTGCACAAGTCAACATCAAATGCAGTATCTACCAAGGAGATGCTCTGTCCCCACTGCTGTTCCACATGGGGCTGAACCCCCTCAGCCAGATTAATACCAAGAGCGGGGGGGCTGTGACCCCCAAACTGGGAGAGTGGCTCCAACAGATACCAGGAACAACATCTGAGATCTCTGTCCAGAAGAGTGCAGTCCTAGGAACAGCTAAGATACTGCACATGACCCTCAAGTTCCCAGGCCTCTGGTAGAGGACCTCAAACTTGAAGGAAGGAATGCAAGACCGCCCCAAAGTAGGGGGCGAGTGGGGGATTTATGTATATATATATATCTTTGTCT